TGGAACATTGATTTTCCGGTTATGTAAGGTGGCTGATTTTACATAAGGTCCCAAGACTGGCACGCGATCGAGCAAACTCGGCTCGAATGGCGAGTACGCACCGAATTCGAAGCCGCGAGTCGTTGCTCGATTCGGAAACCGCCGCGAAATCGAACCCCGTCCGAACTGCGAAACAGAAAGGGAAAGTTCACGAGCTGCTTTTCTAGAGCAGCCGCGAACAGTCGGAAACTTTCTATCGATTCGCTCTTCGTCGGAAGCTCTCTTCCAGGCATTTGGCCTTACACGCGGTCTCTCGTTAAGTCGAATCGTATCGCGATGCTCCGGTAGCCTTTCGGAAAAATCGATCTTCGACTCATCGCGATATCTCGAGCGAATCTTGGAAATTATCGATTCGATTCATAGAAAGAACCTGACGACGCGCAAACGTTGACGATATAAATATTTGCAAAACTTCGCGAAATGTACATTGCGAAATCGGTTCATTTCCATAGAATTAAATTCTATATAGTATAATGTTGTACTCTTGAAACCTTCGACTTCGATGATTTTAGCCTCTTTCCCTATGTTTTTCTGGCTGTCTTTGTTTGTCTTTTTTTTTTTTTTTTTTTACTTCGTGCCATCCAAGCCTATCAAGCTTAATGCAGTTGAGGCAATTACCGGGTTTTAACTTCATTAGGTGCAGCGCTAGTGTAAACAGGTGAGAGGTGCACTCCGCTGGATGACGTGCAATTAGATACTCGTAATCCTATTACCTGCGTAAGGGACGATCGCTTAACGACCATTCGAGAATAATACATATCGATTCAAGGAAAGTTTCAAGCTCGAGTAAACGGGCCCGAGTTGCAGGGTTTCTTGAATATTCTCACGGCAAGACGATCCGATGGCGATGCTTAAGGTGACATCAAAGGGAATTCGAAGAGCAGAGGGAATCGATGTTGGCATACGAATACCGTGGTACATTTACTATGCCAAGTATGGCACGCGTATCGACGATCGCGATGACGTTTTTAAATATATTCTGGAAGCGGTGTGTCGGTGATACTGAGATTTCAAGGAATGAATTTCGCGCGGACGGACATTTCAAAT